GACTTTCACTCATCTGTTGGTTGCAGCTTTAATCGGCAACATTCACAACCATAACTTATTGTTGTTGTTGTTGCTGTTTTGTAGGTCTTGTTATCTTTTCATAAGGAAGAACATGTGTGATAATAAAGTTTAAAAAAAAAAAGAAGACCTTTATAACCCTTTAAAGCTGTGATAATAACAGGAGATTTAGATTAGACTTTGACTTTCTTGTCCATTCCACTTGATTCACGTTAACAGGACAGCGGTGAGGTTTCTCTCCGTCCACATCACCGCGGCCTTTTGTTAAGTACTGCTGTAACAAGAGGGAAAGAACAAGTTTCTCATGTCAGCGTTAAAAACTCCCAGCTGTCAGTAAACTTACTGTGTGTGTGTGTGTGTGTGTGTGTGTGTAGAGCATGTTGTTCAGCACATGTATGTTCATGTGTGTTGTCTTTGGGCCCCTCCTCATCATGTTTATCTTTTTTCCTACAGAAACCGGCCAATCAGAAAGCCCGAACCAGGCCAGCGAATCAGATATCAAGGAGCAGCCAGAGAACGGTGAGACACACACACACACACACACACACACGTACTGTACATACTGTACACACACACACACACACACACACACAGATGCTGACCTGTGTGTGACCTGGTGGTCAAACAGTGAGGCAGTGGATTCAAACACACACACAAATACACACACACACACACACACACTCACACACACACGCACACATGCACACACATTGCTGTGACATCCATCAGAACACACACTCTGATCCACACAAACAACCTCTGCTGAGGAATGTGTGTGTGTGTGTGTGTGTGTGTGTGTGTGTGTGTGTGTGTGTGTGTGTGTGTGTGTGTGTGTGTGTGTGTGTGTGACCTCGGGGTGCAGCTACGTGCTGACAGACACACACAGAAACACACACAGCTGGTACTGATTATCCTTGTTGGGAAACAGAAGCTTCCACATCTGCACTGATACTACGAGTACTATTGATACTACTAGTACTACTGATACGAGTAGTAATACAAGTACTACTGATACTACTAGTGCTACTAGTTCTACTGATACTACTGATATTATTAGTACTACTGTACTACTGGTACTACTGATACTAGGACTGGTAGTTTTGATACTTCTAGTACTATTAGTACTACTGATACTATTAGTACTACTCTTACTACAAGTACTACTGATACTACTAGTACTACTAGTACTATTGATACTACTAGTACTACTAAGGCTACTGATACTACTGATACTTCTACTACTACTAGTACTACTGATGCTACCAGTACTACTGATGCTACCAGTACTACTGATACTAGTACTATTGATACTACCGGTACTACTACATGCTGCCACCACCAAACACACTGTTCAGTCTGATGGACATTCTGGTCTCCTCAGACCAAAGAACCTTCTTCCAGGTGACTTCAGAGTCTCCACATGTCTTCTGGTGAACTCTAGTCCAGATTTAATCTGAGCTTTTTCCACCAGAGTCTTTCTCTTTGTCTCCCACAAAGCTTTGATGGTGAAGAACAGACAACACTGGTTGTTAGCTAATCTCAGCCGTTACAGCTCGTACTTGCTTCAGAGGAGTCATAGGAGCTTGGTGGCCTCCTTCACTAGTCTCCTTCTTGTAACTCCTTCAGAGGAGTCATAGGTGTCTTGGTGGCCTCCTTCACTAGTCTCCTTCTTGTAACTCCTTCAGAGGAGTCATAGGAGTCTTGGTGGCCTCCTTCACTAGTCTCCTTCTTGTAACTCCTTCAGAGGAGTCATAGGTGTCTTGGTGGCCTCCTTCACTAGCCTCCATCTTGCGCTGTCACTCATGTTTCATATTCTTTCCATTTCTTAATGATGGATTTAACTGGACTCCAGAGATCTTCAGTAACTTGGAGATGTTCTCCTTTCATCCCCTGACTGATGCTCTTCAACAACCTTTCAGAGAGAAAAAACATTTGCTTTGATACATGATTTAAGATGCGGTTAAGTTGTATAGAAATGTAATTGCTGGCCCTTGATTTGACTCATCACAGACGGAGTTTCCATGTTTACAGACCAGGACGTGATGGATTGGTTCAAGTGTAGCAGGAGCTCTGGAAGCAGAGTGTCACTGCACAGAGATACGAGTGAATCAATGTGTAGTCGTAAACTTTGCATTTTTTGATTTTTATGTTCACTGATTCTAAACTTCTTAATCTCACCTCTTACAGTCAATGAATGTGAATGTAATCAGGATATTCTGTGTCTGTCTCAGGTCACCTGGGCTTCCAGGACAGCTTCGTGACACCTGGAGTCTTCACGGTGGCCGAGCTCGTACGAGTCTCACAGAGTAAGTTCAGCTCTCTTTTTATTTCCTCTGTTTCCCAGAGAGAGTCGGAGGGAGGAGGGCAGTGATTGGATTGCAGATCTGTCATCGATAGTGGATCTAATGTAATTCCTCCAGACCAAAGCAGACGCTGCCTCTCTTAATGAACACACAGAAAAGAGAACAGACTTAATGAGCGGTGTAATCTGCAGCGAACACTGCTGTTTCTGCTGCTGCGTTTTTCTGCAGTAAAGTAAAGCAACAACAGATGTTATGGTTAAATGTTCATTTAGTGCGCAGGGACGGAGGAGCCGTAACGGGCGTCTTCAGTTTGCACATAAAGATTCTCTGTGCAGGAACAGAACGCCAGAAAAAAACCTTGAAATATCGTAAATAAGTTTTACTTCTTGTCTGAGGTGCAAAAGGTTCATGTCAACAAAATCAAACAGACTCAGTGAATAATGGAGGGATGAGAAAACTGTCACTGTCAGACATGAAACTACCAGAGATGTTTCATCAGAGCTCTGCTTCTGCAGTAGTTTAACAGCACTGAAGGATGAACGCCACCTGCTGTTTACATGATGAACAGCAGGTCTTAGTTCTGTTATTTAGCTCATTTCATTCAGACGACAGACCAGCATCGCTTCATTTAAACACTGATTTTATAACGTCGTCTGACAAACTCAGGAGTTAAAGACAAAGATTTAAAATGAACCTCAGAACGAAAGTTAGACGATAGAAAGTCACACTGCTGTGGTCAAACGTTTTTCTCTGTCTACCAGGGAGAGTTTTCTTCCTGAAAGGGGTGGGGCTTGCAGCAAGGGGCGGGGCCTGCAGCAGCTGGTTGGTTTTCCGATCAGGAATGAATCCAGGACTTGTGGAGACATGAGTCATATTTACAGTATTTTGAGCTGCAGCGCTGACAGACTTGCTGCAGAAACCTGCCGGAAAGTCGTCCAACATGGGACCTTTAATATTCAATGCTCTGCTGTTGCATCATCAGCTGCGACCAATCAGCAGCCTCCGTCTCTGGACTGGTGTCACGCTCAAGAAGCATCGACAGTGGGCGGGGCGATCGAGGGGCCGCAGGGCGGAGGAGAGAGAGGGCGGGCGTGCGACAGAAAGGACAGGAGAGAGAGAGAGGCGAACGTGACCTTTAAAAGTGCCGACGAGCAGCAGAGCGGAGTGACAGCGACGCAGCGATCCATACGGGGCTGTCGATCGCCCACCGCTAACAATAGGCGATGTAAAGTGCCTGTCAGCACACAGAGACCCCCGATCAAAGAGCCATCGATCACACACACTCTTATCCCTGCTTCATCAGATGTACGCCTCGGCACGCTGAATGACACTCTGGAAACATGACTTGTTGTTTCAGCGTCTCCGTCTAAAGTCACACCGCTGCTCCGGAAGCGCTCAGACGTCCTCGTTACACATCAGCTGGAAATGTAGCATCAGAGTGAAGTACGTTCACACCCGCATTTCACTGTATTAGCTGCAGTAATTTATTTAGGCTGTTAATTACTGTGCAGCGCTCTGTTCTGTCACAGTTATAAACCCTTGTAAGTCACAACAGCGCCACCTAATGGCCTGGATGATCACTGAAGTACACAACTTTTGATCGAAAAGTTTTATTCCACCTGAAATATTTTTATAGGTGTAATAGTTTATTCTTATCAGATTGTATTCTATATAACAAGTTGAGAGATTTTAAAGTTTTTATTGTTTTTTTTTTAGTAATTATTTTAGTAATTCTTTTGGCCTTTTTGCCTTTATTAGATAGGACAGTCAAGAGAAAGAGACAGGACTGAGGAAGTCGTTTGTCCCTCGTGCCATTACATTGCACAACTCTCTGACTTAGCAGTTAAGTAATATAATGTCACGCTAATGACACGCTTAAACTTTTTTTTTAAACCCAATACACTAGTTTCTGTCCAGGTACCGACACTACTGTTCGAATTCAGTTGTATTTTTACTGTCATTTATTACACTCTCAGGTTATTGTGCTCAGAATCCACCTCTAGGGGGCGACTGCGTACGGCTGTCAGCTTTAACAGTTTGTACAGTAAACATAGTCTGTGTTTCAGGATTTGACAGAAATCTCTGTGATTTCCCTTTTAAGTATATGTTTTGGGATTTTTGCCTTTACTCAGAGCAGTCGAGATAGACAGGAAAGGGGGGAGAACAATGGGCGGAGGACCTGCAGTAAATGGACATGGGCGGGATTCGAACCCACAACCGCTGCATCGGGAAACTATAGCTAACTATAGCCCTGTTCATGGGTCGCCGCTCAGCCAAGGGAGCTGTAGAGGCGCCCTGTCATTTTTGAGCCGACTGAAACCTTTTGATTTACAACAAACCTCCTTTTAACAGGAAAGTCTCTGCGTTGTTCCTTTAATTTATAGTTTGTCTCTGAGGTGATTTAGGCCTGAAGCCCAGCTGCTCGTCTTCGGTAGCGTTCAGTTCCCAGTGTTGAATCAGGTTGCAGTACAAAGTACGGTGGCCTTGAGGACTCAACACACCTGGAAATAGATGAAGCAAAAGCATAAATAGAAATCATCTTTACCTGCTGTCAGCTGTGTAGAAAGCTATTCAGACATTCACTGTGAAAATATTCAACAGCAAGTAAAAGTCCAGCTTTCAAAACGTCATCTTGTTTGTGCTACTGTTGTATGTAAAGCAAAACGACAATAAGCTTGATTTGATTTGAAATAGACATATTTCAGTCATACCAACCACTGTACCGTGGTGCACCATTTTCATGTTGCTGTTCAGGTTCTAATGACACTGTTTAGCTTGGCTAGCCTGAGCTACTTAAACAAGGATGAAGAAATAGTCTTAGTTATATATAATACAACAATTTTTTTTTTTTTTTAAATACTCACTGAAAACGTATTATAACACGGCACTAATCGCACCACTCCACTTTATTTTGTTGTCACCTTTTACAGCGTTCCCGAGAGGCGGCTGAAATAGTCACCTGATTGGATCGGGTCAAGTACCCTGTGCAAGGCTGTGATTGGCTGGTTTTGTGGCACATCCGTACCGCTGTGCCAAGTCGAACGAACATGCAGGCAGAGTTGAGCTTGAACTGATCATCAGTGTTGTGCGCGAGCGAAAAAGACACCGCGAGCGAGCATGAATGTGTAGCTGACTGCACAGAACGAAGATCTGTGAGCGCGCAAATGACAAAACCGAGTCAAAGAATGCATGATCACGCGTGTATGTTGATAGTTGCAAACACGGCAGTAGAAGTTTTGAGCGCAGAATAGATTTTCATTTGCTCAAGATTGTGGCACAAATATAATTCCATAAATAATCATT